TTCCTCTTTATTTTTCTTAAATTTCGTGTCGTATAAAACAGATAAATAATTTTCTTATTTTAGCTTAGTCCTAATTTAAATCCATTAAGTTATCAGTAGTGATTTAAAGTATGCCTAATCAAGCAGCAATAATGATATGTAATATGTTACACATTATCAAAAATTCTGACATAAATCAAAAGGAGACTGTTACTCTTAATGATTTATATAGGAACTATCATAGTATTCTATACATTCAAGAGTGTGTTCCTCAAATTAAAAACAGAATTACCATATGATGCAGCAATTCCATCCCTGGATATTTATCCAAAGAAAATGAAAACACTAATTAGAAAAGATATCTTCACCTCTATGTTCACTGCAGCATTATTTGCATAATTGAGATATGGAAGTAACCTAAGTGACAATCAATAGACAAATGGATGAAGAAAACGTGGTGTGTATACACACACACACACAATGGAATATTACTCAGCCATAAAATGAATGAAATCTTGCCATTTACAACAACATGGATGGACCTAGAGGGTATTATACTAAGTGAAATAAGTCAAACAGAGAAAGACAAGGGGTACTGTATGATTTTGTTTATAAGTGGAATCTAAAACAAAACAAAACAAATGAACATAACAAAACAGAAACAGAGTTGTCCATAGAGAACAAACAGGTGTTTTCCAGAGGGGAGGGGTTGGACGAAGGAAAGAGATAAGTGAGGGAGATTAAGAGGTACAAACTTCTAGTTGCAAAATAAATGAGTCACAGGTATAAAATGTACAATATAGAGAATATAGTGAATAGCTATGTAATATCTTTGTATCTTTGTATGGTGACATATTGTAACTAGACTTACTGTGATCATTTCGAAATGTATAGAAATAGTCAATCATTATGTTGTGTAACAGTAACAACATAGTACTGTAGATCAATTACACTTCAAAAACAAATAAAAAATGTGGACAAAATAAAGTTAAGCATTATTTCTTAAGTAAACATCTGAACTTAATTGGGAACGTCTTGATTGGGAATCCACTTTGCCTAAAGATAGCTTAAGAAATAGAAGGGGTGGGGAGGGATAAATTAAGGTTGCTGATTAACAGACATACAGTGCTATATATAACATAGATAAACAATAAGGACCTACTGTACAGCACAGGGAACTATATTTAATTTCTTGTAATAACATATAATAGAAAGAATCTGAAATATATATATATATATATATGTATATATATATATGTATAACTGAATTAGTTTGCTGTACACCTGAAACTAACATTGTAAATCAACTACACTTCAATAAAAATTTTTTAAAAAGAAAAGAAATAGGATGGGTGAGACACAAAAAAATAAAAACAAACAAAAAAAGGAGTGAGAAATAAAAGTGTATATTTCTTCATTCTTGTTAATATGTGTACCTATTCTAAGTTCTTTTTTTTTCCTCCTAAGGTGCCTTTAAGACAATAGTCAAATCAGATTCCCACCTCCCTTTTTTTCATAGAATTTAAAGTCTACAGTGGGAGATATTCTAACGTGCCCCATGCATTTTAAACATTTAACGTTATACCGTGAAATAATCTATGAGCTTCACTGGATCACAGCACAGTGCCTGGCATGTAGTGATTCTCAGTAAAATTCCATTGGCCAAACTGATCCATGCTGTCTTCAAAGAAATCTCCCTAGGTCTTCCATCTTCCACTACAAGAGCAATCCATTTCCATCATACAAATGTTGCATTCTACCCTCTTGTGGAGTCTGCATTTGTGTGCATTTGAGGAGGGGAGTGGAGAGGAATCACCTCCATGAATAAAGTGTAATGCCATTAGGCATAGTAGCTGTATATAATTTATTGAGTTAGCACGTGGACCTAGCCTATGTCATTAAGCATTTCCCTCCTCCTCCAGTGAATAAAAACAGAATGAACCCCTTGCTCTGGTGGAACCTAGTATCCTCTCTCCATACCGTCTTCCACTCTGATGTTACTACTTTTCTGCCTGGGTATCTCTGTCTAATGCTCTGTCCCCCCTACCTATTAACAGGGAATGATTTCTCATCACTCACTTATCCTTAAAGATAAATTGATTTTCCCAGGTATTTGCAGTTTGATCCTTTAGTCCTTATTGGGAATGAAAATTGTAGATGCCTCTGTCGAGATTTCTGGTTAAAGTAATGCAGAAGATTGACAGAAAGGGTAAAAACATTTCCTTATATCCTACATTGTACTACGCTGGTGGGCATCGTGCTAGCTGGGAATCACATTCAGCCATTAAGATAATTAGGAAAGCAGAGGCCGCACCTCCTCCACCGCCCTGTCCGCCACATAAACACACACATGAACCCTTCAGCAAACTTAAATCTCCGGAGAGGGGCCTGAATATCTGCACACTTAAAAATTCCTGGTAATACGTTCCCAATGGGAATGACTGTACTCTAGATCCTATGAGGAAAGTACTACTCCTGCATTTAACAGGTAAAGAAATGGAGGCTTGGAGGAGCTAAGTATCTTGCTCAAGGCCATGAGGCTATTTACCAGAGAGCTGGAATTTGGTTCCAGTTCAGTAGAACTTCAGAAAACTCATCCCATTTCAATATTATTGCCACTAAAACCTGGTGCCACTAAAAAGCTGATCCTACAGATGACACTCTGCTAGTCAGTAGTTGGTTGTTGACCAGTGTGGGTCTATCAGTCAGGGTCCCAGAAGAAAGAGAATGCATATCCAATTGGGTAGTTTGACAAAAGTTGAATATTGTCAGTTTATCACTGTGTAGGCAGTGCCCTCCTGCCAATTACAGAGGAAATGGTTAACACCTATAAGGCCTGAAGATGTGAGCCTAGTTTAATGGAATCTGGAAAGAGGTGGGGCAGAGGGAGGGTGGGGAAGAAGGAAGGAGGTGAAGAGAGCTGCTGGACAGGGCTGTGCCGCTTGGTCCAGGGATGCAGCCAGATCACGGAAATCCTAGGGGTGTGGTCAGGTGAGGGCGTGATCTTGCCAGTCTTTATCGTTGGCTGAATCCAGGTGAAAACCGTAAGGCAGGGGAGACTAAGGACGTGGTTTGTGCGCATCAGCCACTAAGGACAGTGGAGAGTACAGAGTGGGTATAGGTGAGTCAGCAAAGAGCATTAGGAAGTATGCCTTCTTCACCCTCATCCCTCAGATTCACCTGCTGTCTCTCTTACCATAAATGAAAATGGCAAGGGCTCAAAGGAAGCAACTGTTTGTTTCTGTTTTCTTTACCGCACGGTTGCAAATGCTTCTGAAATGTACTAGTGCACTTTCTTACTAAGCTTTCATTAGCACCTGCATTTGTTCTAGTTTTACTGTGTTGTAAGCATGAAATATTGGTTAAAACCTTCCCTCAAATAGGTGCATATTCTTTAAGGTTTCTTTGGGTTTTTTGTTTGTTTTCGATTAGGCTAATTCGGGTAGTTAATATACAGAAAAACTCACCCATTATAGCAATGCAATTTTGTCAGTTTTCAGAATGTATACAGTCCTGTATCTGACACTACAGTCAAGATATAGAATATTTTCATCATTCCAGCAGGTTCTAAAGCTTTTTAAAATCTTTAATCCCATTCAACTAAACGTCCGGTGTCAATGTTTTTTTCCTTTGATTCTAAATAGGAAAATTGGTGATGGCATCCAACAGTGAGTTGAACATGGGAGGTGCTCTTATGAAAAGTATTCTTGTTGGTTTGTTTCCCTGCCCTTCTCGTTCATATAAACTATTCCTCTCTGTTTTCAACTCAATTCATATATATTAGACTGAGGAAAGGCTCATAACCTTGACTGCATGTTGAAATCACCTAGATCTATTAAATGACCCAATGGCCAGGTGGCACCTCATTAAAGCAGGATTCTGGGGCTAAGACCAAGGCATCAATACTCTAAGCCTTTCAGGGAACTCCGTATGTGGCTGAGGTTGAAACCCCATGGATTAGACAAGTTGTCCTCAACTCTGGCTGCACAGTGGGCTCCCCTAGGCCAGTTGCTTAAAAATACGATGCCTTTCCCTCGAATTCTGATTTATAGCACTTGTTCATAAAAGTTGACTACAAGAAAAATAATCAGATTTGGGTAACTTATATATCTGAATGGTTGGGCTCCATTTAATCAAGGTTTTATTATCCTTCTGGGTTTGTGGTGATGTTCAATAAATGTTAGATGGAGGTCCTAATCCCACAGCAGAGTCAAGGCGCATAAAATATGCTCCCTCTTGGAAATAAACTGTTTGTGCATTTGAAATAATTATCTTGGCAAACTATCGCTTTCTGAAAATTGTCCTCCTAGGTAATTTACCTCAAATGGTAAGCCTTGTATTTTGAGAGAATACTATATTTCAACTATGTTTTTTTCAGCATAGCATTGGGCACATATATATCTTACAGCACTTTCATAATTCTCTCCAAGGAAATAGACAGGAAACAAGATTAAGAGACTGAGGATAAGATTTAAACCAGACTCCCACTAGGAAGTATAAATGATGTTATTGCATTTCTGGGCCTGGAGAATACTACTGCTTTGTAAAATAGAGCAATGATACTTCCTGCTTTATGACGGTAAAATAAATAGACACAGGGCACCTAATGCCATTAGCTAGAGCAGAAATGAACTTACTATCTAATGAAAGAGTTAGGGGACTAGTAGAATACTGATGTATGATATCTTTATTCAGATTTCAGGAACTAGTAACTAAAATAACAAAAATTTCCTTTTTTTAAGCATAAAGTTAGTGATGATATAGTGTGGCAGAAATGCTCATCAGGCAAACCTCCCGAATTTCATTGCTATCAATAATTAATCAGCCCACTGCGTGTTTCAGTCTACATTAACAATACCAGGTGTGGTGTTTAATCTCTCAAATATAAGCCAGCACAACAAACAGCATTTTCCTTAAGATGATACATGTTCTTGGTTTAAATTTTAAAAAAATATAAAGCTTACTGAATTTGACCTTCCCACTTCTTACTCCATTTTTCCACTCTTTTTTTTCCATTTCAGGACCACCTCACAAAATAGTGTCACCTAAACAAGAGCATGAAGACAGGAAACATGACAAAGTCACAGATAAAGGAAGTGAAAGCGGGACTTCCTGTAATGAGCTGTCCACTTCCAGTTGTGACAGCCACTCAGAGGCGAGCACACCCCAGGAAAACCCCCCCAGCGCCCAGCAGGCAACAGCTCACCAACCTAACACCTTAACGTTGGATCGTCCTTCCAAAAAAGCACCTGTGCAGTGGATGCCCCCACCCGACAAACGCAGAAACAGCGAACTCTTTCAGACACTCATCAGCAAGTCCCGGGAAACAAATCTTTCCAAAAAGAAAGTCTGTGAGAAGCTGAGTGTGGAAGAAGAAATGAAAAAGTGTATTCAGGATTTTAAAAAAATCCACATTCCAGATTATTTTCCAGAGCGCAAACGCCAGTGGCAATCTGAACTGTTACAGAAGTATGGGTTATAGTAATTATCTCCTTCCTGCAGTATTTCAATGACATTCAATGTTTACTATGGTGTCACCACCTGACTGTGTACTAACAATGGTCAGTGTGATTCTTGCTGCTCTTCCTTTTTTGTGAACAGTGGATGTGGGACGGTATTTTCTTTCATTCTTTCTGTTGTTGTTTTTAGAAATATGGTTTTAAAAAACAGAAAACTAATAAATGTTGAATCAAGTGGTGTATCTGATTCAAACTATTTCACAAGAATGAAAGTAAAATGTGCATGACCAAGAAGCTTAGAATCTTGATTTTTGAATTGTGGTCAACTGGATATGTTTGTCATTTTGTAACTCACCAAAAACAAATCATCGTATCACTCCAAATAAAGTAACGATATGGATGAAGCAACATCAAGTAAAATGTTAGATGATGGTTTTGGGACCCAAACCCAAAACTGTTTAAATGTTAATGCAATAAAACAAGTACTATTTTTGCATGAGCACAAATGTTACAAATAAATCACAAGACTTAGGGAATATCTGTTTGTTGCTTGGAAAGAAAAAAAAAAATACCAAAAAAATTTTTTTAAAAGGTTCAGGCAAAGCCTATAAATGTAAGTTGTCTAGGTTGAATTTTATTTGTTCCGGATCTGTGATTTTTTTGTGTATGTGTATGGTGTTCTGTATGTTAAGATGGTGTAAATATGCCTTATAATCTTGTGTTATGGCACTGACATTCATCTATTACTGCTAGTCATTATTATTTCTGTGAAATGAGTCCTTACATCAGGCTGTGAAAATTGGTATAATGATGCTCTGAAAGATCTTATTATCATGTTAAGCAAAATAATTGAGGGAAATGATAAAGAGCTTTATGTATTTATTTAAAAAAAAGGAAATATATTAGAATTCCTTGATCTCTACTGACTCTTCTTTTAAAATATTCAGTTGTTACATGATCTTCAATGTTCCTTTAAAATCCCAAACTGGAGAATGATCGGTTCAACCTTAATGTTGACAAGTTGGAGACTTAACATAATTCAAAATGGAGGCAGAGTCCGATCCAAACAGCCTTGGTATTGATTAATAAACTCTTAGCCCACAAGAGAAAACGATTTCATCTGAGGATGCACTAAAATCTTATTTTAGCTGACAACCAGATTGAAAGTCTCTCCCAATACAACTGGGAAGTTACCTCTTAACAAATTACGAGACAGAAATGTCAATAGCAAGCTAAAAGGTCGGCCTGAATGACAGGAGGTTTCTTCCTGGTTGCATATGTGGAAATAAGCTGTCTCATCATAAGCCAGCCAGTTTTTGCCTCACCGTCTCTGCAGAAAGAGATGCTTAATATCATGAAATTTCCCTAAAGAATGGGCGCTGAGAGGGAATAAATATCTTCAAGAATTACAGAGCTCAGCCTCCTCTGTGGTTGGCTGAAGAGAAGTTGAGCAGCATGTATCACATTGTTTCTTTCAGGATAATATAGGGAGAAAAACATTATTAACTCAGAATTTTAAATCTGTGTTCAATTTTGGATATATTTTTGATTTCTCGCTCTACTATTATATAAAGTACTGTCCACAGCGGACTGTTAAGCAAAACCCAGATATATGATTTGCCTTGAATAACCTACCAGGTTTTAGGGAAAGAGCTACTCTCAAATTCTGCATTTCATTTTGGGAAGAATGGCTTAGTCACCGCAACACGCTGGTTACATGGATAGAGGTTGGTGGCTAGGTTGTTACAGTTCAAATCCCATCTCTACCACTTGCCACTTGTGCAACACGGGATAACGGGGATAACACAGCATCACAGAGAAGATTTATATGAGATAACTGAGGTACAGCATTGCCAGCTCTCCTAGAGATGGAGGGAAAGGGGAAGTAGTGGTCTTACCAGAACCCAGGAGTCAGTACTGTTAGATAAAGAATTTGGAACAGAGAGGAGTAAAATGTCCACTAAGAACTGTGGCCTCTAATGAGTCACTTTTACTTCCAAAGATGCCTCCCAAAGCAAAGAGAGAAGGGGGAGAGTATCCTAGTTCCCCACATTCCAACTGCCCCCAACACTTTCCATTGTCACAAGATAAGGGGAAACCAGCTGGCAAAGGAGCCTAGGAAATTTAATTTAACAGAGGTGATCCGCCTATAATACAAAGCCCAGCAATGAAGGGCAGCGGGTAGATCTGAACTTCGCACCCTGCTCTATTTTTTCCCAACAGAAAACTTCAAATTGAGTCACAATGGCAAGAATTTGGTAAATGAGGACTATTTCAGAGCTTCATATGTCCACCACAAGAGAAGTGATGCTGGTGAGATTGTCTATCCTGACAGTCCTTCTTAGTAAATTATTTCAGTAATAGTCTATTGAATACTTAACCATACCTCAAGCATGTGGCTTAAAGTTAACAGCATTCAATAAATGCAAATTACTAGCGATGGCCTTTGGGAAGAAGCTTATGGTCTGATTCTCCTAAACCATTATGCTTTCACCAGAGGCTACATCCTGGTTGACTCCAACTGGGTTACAAGGGGATCAAGGCAGGAAGCTAGAATAAGGACTCTTCCCTGAAGAAAAAGAAACTCCAAATTTTAAAGATGACTTAGACTAATACTGCTCTATGAAACTCCTTTTCCAAAGAATCATGAGATAAAATCTGGAGGGTCACCAAAAGTCAACAGTGTTGGAAGCAGGCATTGAAGTTGAGTATTTTGGGAGAATAAATATATTTTGGAGCTCATATGGTATACCTTTTGTTTAATATATAATATTTATTTAACTTGTGATCTGATGTTTTAATGTTATCAGTTCAAGTGGGGCTATATTGAGTACTAAGTAAGATGGAAAAAGGAAATGAAAGTCAAATTGTGAGCTTTTCAATTTTGGAAAAATGGAATAGATATATGTTCCCCTATATCTCCCACTAATTATAACTAAACACCTTAGATATACATAAATCAGAGGCTCTTAAAGACTAATAGAAGAAGGAAGGCTGGTTAGAGACATTGAGACCCAAAGAACATGGGAATGGAATTTCCTAAGTTTTCTTTGTACCTCATGTATCGCTAAAGAAGCTGGTAACCCAGAAACACTTAACAGGTGCAGAGGAAACAAGCCCAAGCAAAATTCTTTACTCTCTTGCCAGAGGACCAGGAAAGGGGCAAACTAGCAAGACAGAGAACATTTAGAAAATAACTGATTTGCTGTGTCAGGTTGCAAGTAGGTGGACACAATTGTATTACAGAGTCATTTTAAAGCTCCCCACTTTTTAAAAAGAACTTTTTAAAGAGCAATTTTAGGTTACAACAAAATTGAGGGGAAGGTACTGAGATTTCCCATGTACATCCTGGCCCCAATATCCTCCTCCACTATCAACATCCCCACCAGAATGGTACATTATTACAACTGGTGAACCTGCATTGATGCATCGTTATCACCCGAAGTCCATAGTTGACATGATTGTTCACTCTTGGACTCGCACATTCTGTGGGTTTGGATAAATGCATACTGATGGATATCCATCATTATAGTATCACACAGAGTATTTTTCACTGCCACCAACATTGCCCATGTTCTGCTTAATCATTCCCTCCTTCCTCCCCAAACCACTGGTAACCACTTTTTTTTTTTTTTGCTGTCTCCATAGTGTTGCCTTTTTCAGAATGTTATGTGGTTGGAATCATACAGTGCATAGCCTTTTCACATTGTCTTCTCTCACTTAGTAGTATGCATTGAAGTTTCCTCCAATGTCTTGTCATGGCTTAACCCCTTTATTTTTCAGCACTGAATAATATTTCATTGTCTGGATTTACCACAGTTTGTTTATCTATTCACCTACTAAAGGACACCTTAGTTGCTTCCAAATTATGGCAACGTTGTATACTAGTGTTTTTTAGTATAGGTTAGTTAAGCAAACATTACCAAAGCATAATTTTGTTCATTAAAAAGGGATGCAATTTGAAAGAGTTTCTTATAAAACTCTTAAACATAAATCTATTTTCTTTCAAATTTTTTCTTCCTCTCTATATTCTCAAAAGCATTCATTTTGAAGCATGACATCCAGAGGTTAAAAGATTCACACAACTGCAGGATTGGAAAGCATCTTAAAAGTCATATAAATTCTCTGTATACATGAACTCAAAGTAATCTATGACTATTTCTAGAGTGCCTACTATGGACAAAGTATTTTACCAAATGTGTTAAAGATACAGCAATGAATAAGCAATAATAAAAATGGATTTAATTTTAATAGGATGATGTGTACACAATGACTGACAGAGTATAAGCAGTGGAGTCACCTATAATAAAGGAACTGCTACATAAGTTTAGAGAGAAGAGACAGCTTTGTGGTAGCAATGGAATTTGAGCTGGGGCTTGAAAGAAGGGAATTTGAATTTGTACATATAAGGATGTTGAAAAGGGGACACTATAAGAGAAAACTCTGTAAGTTTAAATATGTAAGAATACTATGTTACAGAAAAGTGTGTTACAGCTCAGTATTACAGCTCAGTGTTACAGCTCAGCTGTGACAGCAACCTGGATCCGGGCGAGAGACCAAGCAGCACTCAGAGAGTTCGAGAACTCAGTTTTATTATGCCAGCGGGCCCAGAGGAGTAAACATTCCAAGCTCTGGACCCCATCTATAGGTTTACACAGGCTTTTATAGGCTCCAGTCTAGACTTTGTAACATTTTGTAACATCATATGCAAATAAGCTGTAACAAAGATGACTAATTAGGAACAAGCTTTGTAGAAATAGACCGATCAGGAGTGAAAGAAATGGACCAATGAGGAGTGAGAGAAATAACCAATCAGGAGTGAGCTCCATGCAAATGAAGCACTACAAATGGACCAATCAGGAGTTAGCTCAGGGAACCAATAGAATTTTAGGGCTAAGTTCCACTTTCCTAGAAGTAAGCCATTTCAGAGGCAAAAAGTGAGATAAAGCCACTGGGCCAGGGAACTGGATGGTGCTTGCAGGAGAGTAGTGGCCCTGACTGGGGGTCCTGCCAGTCTATTTTTATGGGGCTTCCCACCTCAACTATAGCAGATGACATTCTGAAAAAATGTTTATAAAAATATTATTATAGCTACTTTTGAATATAACTGAATATAGCATTCTTATGTGCAAGAATACATTAATGAAGAAACTTTTTATTATAATCTTCAGGATTATATTCTCATGAGTAAATTTTTCTGTCCATCTAGTCTCTTTTTCCCTCTGACCCTCACTCTCCAATCGCAGCAGCAGGAGCTAAAGAAGCAGCAAATTAGGTTTTCTTTAAAATGCTGTTAAGAGACCCATTGGAAACTGATTCGTTAAAACTAATGAAAAGAAACAATGAATGAGAACTTAGACCAACAAAATATGTTTTTGTCAGGGAGAAGTGTTTTAATAGGAACAAAGTTTAGGGTTGCCGGTGCATGGTGATAATAAAAAGCAGATTAATTGATAGTTGGTTTTACTGGCATTTTAAAATGATCCACTTTTATGGCCTGCACCTGGGGCAAATTGCTCCCGTCACCTTGGTTTGATATTCACTGGTTCAATGCAGAAGGCAGACTAGAAATTTCAGTCTAATTTAACAAGTGCTAAGCTCGGGGTACAAAGAAAGACTGATTCTACTGTAGCTACAGGGTCACACCTTCATCTTCCTCCACTTCAGCTGCAGGAATCCAAGTACTGCACTGGTCTGCCTTCAGTCTTTTTCCTTTCAGTCCATCCTTCTTGCAGCTAGAAATGTGATCTTCCTACAACACAAATTTTTCATATTCTTTTGCTTAAAATTTTTCATCTCACTGCCTATTAAGAAAAACTTACAACGTGCTTTATACAGTTAATAAAGTCCTCCATTTTCTGCCAC